GTTTATGTGTTTGGAAGTTTGCGGGTTTAGAAATTATAAAGTTTATGGGTTCGAAAATACGCGATTTTTGCGGTTAAAAGTAAGACATCACTAGTTACGTTCGTTTAGAGTTGTGTTACGAAGTTTTAGGAGGACGGTTCGGGGAAGGGGTGGGGAGGGGGGAGGGGTGGGGGGAGGTGGGAGGGGGAGGGATGAAGAGAGTTGCATAAAAAATATTTTCCTAAAAAAAACTATTTTCTACTCTCTAACCAAACAATAGAAAATATTTTCCGAAAAATGTTTTCCACTTACCAACCAAACAAGAGAAAATAAGTGATAAAACCACTCATTTTCCATGAAAACATTTTCTAGGAAAACATTTTCCATGGAAAACATTTTCCTTCATACCAAACACACCCTTAGTTTTGAAGTTTTCACTTTGGGCTTGAGCATTAGATCCACCCGGTCCAACAAATCCAATGTCTTTGGGCTTTTCATAATTGTCAATAGGGATTTTTACCTTCCTATATCATATATGAAACCTTATTACCCTCAATGTTTAAGGTTTTAGTTAATTACATTTCAGCATACCAAATTATCATTTTTATACCATAATTCAAATTAGGGATATAATTAAGGGTACATTTATATTAGGCATAATTATAGGACTGTATCTTCCCACTTTCTCTTTCCTTTCATCTCAACTGTTCACAACACACACACAACTCACGATGCTCCTATGCTTCCTCTCGTTGATCATCCCCAACTGCCCACCGCCTCTCAATTGTTATTAAGAATCGAAGAATATCATATTTTCAGATTCACAAGAAAATATTAAATTCTTTGATCGAACCGCTTGAATTCTCACTGGAAATAATAATGGCAGAGAGTTCGAAATTTCAAACACAGATAGAAATCAAGCAACAAATGGCGGCGGTGAGATTCTCACTTTTTGATATCTGAATTTCTTTCGAGCTATGACATTTTGTATGGAGATCACTTCATGAATTGCCTATTCTTGAAACCCTATTTTTTTTTTTTTTTTGGATTTTTACATTCCTATGCCACATAGGAAACCTTTTGTAGTCAACATTTTTTTTTAATATAAATTGTAGTTTAATTGTAGTATAAATATAGTAATTTTGTAGATACTCTTAAAAACAATACAGCTTTATACAATACTTAAACTGATTTGTAGTTTTTTTGAAGAAATTTTGTAGGTCAAGAGAAAATTTTGTAGTCAACATTTTTTTTCAACATAGATCGTAGTTTAATTGTAGTATAAATGTAGTAATTTTGTAGATACCCTTAAAAACAATACAGCTTTATACAATACTAAAACTCATTTGTAGTTATTTGTAGATAAATGTAGGAATTTTGTAGATATTAACATAAAATCAGACTTCCTCTTCTCCATTCTTTCTTCTTCTCAAAAAATACAGAGATGAGACCCATTTTCTATAATCAGATTTTTCCCATTCAATTGTAGCATGATTGGGATTTTGGACACGATTGAGTGTTGTTGCTGAGGTATTGTTCTATATTTTATTGTTTTTTTGATTTGTGTATTGAGAAAAAAAAAGATGAAGAACAGATTTGATTTCAGTTTGTTGAAGCTTTTAGTCTTTTTTTTTTTTAATTACGAAAAAAATTCCAATGGCTTTGCCTACCAATCAAATCTGATATGGAGAAAAATACGCAGATGAGAAATCTCCTTCCCCTTTTTAAAAATTTAATTTAATGTAGAATCAATTAACACCAAGATTCTCTCCTTAATTTTAGCGCGTTTTTTAGGGAATATTCTGCCCTTTTAATGCCCTAATAGTCGAATGGTATATAAATTGTAGTAAAAGTGTGGACTGGGCAGGTAATTAACAAACTATGCACATTTAGGTTAATAAGGTTTCATATATGGTATAGTTAGGAAAAAATCCCTTTTAAAATCTTGCGGCAAAAGTATCATTTACCCAACAGAAGCCAACAGGAAATGGGAAATTTATACCAAATAGCATAACTGAAGGCCTTTGTTTAGACTTTGTTCCATTTAAGAAAAAATTGTGCAAACATATTTTTGGCAGATCATAACTTTTCACAAGCTGATCGTAAGTCTTGCCGGATTGACAAATTGTTCACAAGGTACCAATTTTCATCTGCATGTATTGTTAAATTGTTCATAAGTGCTGGAGGTATAAAATATGTCTGTTTGTTCAATTGTTCACAAGATTTATAATCTTCTATCTATCTTGTTCAATAATTAATTCCGGTGATTAATTAGTAAATAATATTTCATTCTAAATCTGCAATTTTTATTTGAAAATAAATACTGTAAATCATTGTTCGTGATAGAAACAAAACAATAAAGCAAAGCCTTTCAAGTCGAACTAGATTATACAATATGGGCGGTCGTAGTACCAGCTAATTTCGATAACACTACTAGAAATTCGGAAAAAAGCGACCAAAATTTAGCGATCAAAGTTGGTCTGTGAGAAAAAGCGACCAAAGTTGGTCGCTAAACTAGCGAAAATAATAAAATAAATAAAAGAAACACAACAGCGACCAAGATTGGTCGCCAATTGGTCGCTATAATAGTCAAAATGTTGACTGGACTGATCAGACTTTCTTGGTCAAACATTTACTGAGATTAGCGACCAATGTTGGTCGCTCGCGTGGGACCCACTATTATTATTTTAAAAAAATTACAAAATATAAATATATATAATATAAAAATGGCGACCAATGTTGGTCGCTAACTAAAGGGTAGGCAGGTAGCGACCAACTCTCGTCGCTCCAATGGGACCCAGTTATACAATTTTAATAATTATATTATTAATTTAAATATTATATGAAATATAATTAAATCTGATTTAAATATAGCGACCAGAGTTGGTCTCTATTCAGGTCAACAATGGTCAAAATTAAAAATCACTTTTGTATTTACTATCTAAATAATATAAATGTAAGCCGTTAATACTTTTGTAATACAAGGGATGAATAGTACTACGAATCGTGCGTCTGTGTCTATATATATATACACTTACGCTATATATATATATATATATATATATATATATATAACTATGCACTGAGTATAAGTGTATTAGATAATACTGCATCGAATATAGCTTAAATATATATATATATACTTACGCTATACTATGCNAGTTTAATTGTAGTATAAATATAGTAATTTTGTAGATACTCTTAAAAACAATACAGCTTTATACAATACTTAAACTGATTTGTAGTTTATTTGTAGTTATTTTTTTGAAGAAATTTTGTAGGTCAAGAGAAAATTTTGTAGTCAACATTTTTTTCAACATAGATCGTAGTTTAATTGTAGTATAAATGTAGTAATTTTGTAGATACCCTTAAAAACAATACAGCTTTATACAATACTAAAACTGATTTGTAGTTTATTTGTAGTTTTTTTTGTAGATGAATATAAGATTTTGTAGTCAACATTTTTTTTTCAACATAGATCGTAGTTTAATTGTAGTATAAATGTAGTAATTTTGTAGATACCCTTAAAAACAATACAGCTTTATACAATACTAAAACTCATTTGTAGTTATTTGTAGATAAATGTAGGAATTTTGTAGATATTAACATAAAATCAGACTTCCTCTTCTCCATTCTTTCTTCTTCTCAAAAAATACAGAGATGAGACCCATTTTCTATAATCAGATTTTTCTCATTCAATTGTAGCATGATTGGGATTTTGGACACGATTGAGTGTTGTTGCTGAGGTATTGTTCTATATTTTATTGTTTTTTTATTAGTGTATTGAGAAAAAAAAGATGAAGAACAGATTTGATTTCAGTTTGTTGAAGCTTTTAGTCTTTTTTTTTTAATTACGAAAAAAATTCCAATGGCTTTGCCTACCAATCAAATCTGATCTAGAGAAATATACGCAGATAAGAAATCTCCTTTCCCTTTTTAAA